AAACATGAATACAGAGGGATGCTAATTCATTCTCCTCCCAAGGAGCCCGAGGCACCCTCAATGTATATTGGAGTCAAGGGTGACCCAACAACAGACATCTCTCTCGTCCACCACTTTTACCGTCACCGAACAATGAAGCCTAAGGCTGGTGGTCCCAAGAAGCGACTGTGGGCATGCCACGGTGCGGTATGCCGCCTCACCTTTGGGTACCACAGTACCATCCCGGAGGCAAAAGAATGGGTCCACCCATATTCCGGCCAGAGGATGACGAGAGATGAGTTCATGAAGATTATCGGATATGACCCTCTCAAGGGTAAAAATCCTGACAAGGATGGACCCACTGATGGCTCTTACCTCTCACCAGAGGCGTGTCTGACAATGTCGGACCTCGACCCTGCGCCGGTTCTCTGTGAATGGAACGGCCATGTCGAGGGTGATGAGCCACCAGAGGAAGACTTTGAGTCATACGCAGAGATCTTCTCACAAGAAGCATCAAACGATCTTGACGAGATGTGGTGTACAAAAGGGCCTTACAAGGTCATCACCATCGCGATCGTCCATTTCAACTCATACATGACTCATAAGGAAGAACAGAGGCGCGAACTGGTGAACGCGTTCCTCAACGAGGTTCTCCCTTTCAAACCGGATGTAATTGCGGGGGATCTCAATAATATTGCGTCGAGGCTCACCTTAAAAGGTGGAGACGTTCACCCGCGAAACGGTTTGTTTTCTCTATACCTGGAGAAGAAACTTGCAGCATTCAACAGAATAGCAGGAAGGCACTCACAAGTGCGACACCTCTGCTTGAACAACTCTGACCAGCACAGACTGGCACGTGCAGATCGTCTACCGCCGGAACCGGCGAAGAAAGTTGCTGACCTTGACTGTATCAACAGTTATATCCTTGACTGGAGCAAAACGCCGCACACGGCGTCACCTAGTCCAAGAGATGCTACACCTGCCGCCGAAAGAACATACTGGGAACGAATCTCAGATATGTGGCAGGACATGAACAAAAACAGGGATATCGATATCCGTCTGTTTGTCTCAGTCAAGCAGTACTATTCAACTTTTTCTAACCTTGACCTATGGTTGAGTCCCTCTGACAAAGATTGGCACAGCCCTTTGGGCTTCACGATACAACCAATCCTTACAAAAGGGAAACACAACCGGTCAGATGCCCAGGTTCAGAAGATCGCTAACAAGCGACAGGCTTACAAGCAGCGTAATGCTGAATACTGGGATTACAAAGACTCATTTGTGTATTCATCCGGCAACAGCTGGTATGACAAACAGCAACCACAAGGTAGCTATCACAGATATGGAAGATTCTGGGAAAGGCCACGGCCTGAACGTCCCAGCGAGCCTGAAGGCCCTCCTCCAAGAAGGAGCCAGGCATCATCGTCCTCTTCACAACAAGATCTACCAAGATCAAGGTCCAGACCTCAAAGAACCAATATTGTTGACAAGCTCAACATGTCTTTAGAGGAACTGGACACACTTGAGGAACAACAAGAAGAAGAACACTCTCCAACAAAGAGTGACATCGAAGAACACGAAAGAGAAACATCAAACTTGATGTCTGCTCAGAGAGATGAAGAGGAACAAGAGGACGAATCCTCCAGCCGGAGGAGAAGAAGGAAGGCATCACGCCCACCGTCTGCTCCGAGCGGCAAGGCACTCAGAACAGCTGCCACAGCAGCGGGGTTGTCGGGCTGGTTCGGACACCGTAACCACGGTGGAGCGAACGCAGAGTCTATCAAGACTGATGAACCTTCACTTCCAACTCACTAACCAGTGAGCAAGACTTCTCCGTCTTCAGCATCGCGTGGAATGTGTTTCTGCTGCTAATGGGCCTACACTGGATGTGGAAGCAGTTCACCAGGGCTCCCATCAGATGTATGGACCGCCAACAATCAAATGCAAAAGCAGCAGCGAAACGACCACCACCATTTCTCGAACCCGAGGATGAACCACAGACGCGTGAACCTTTAGGACCCAACAGGGTCAATTCTGGAGAAACAACGGATTTGCGACCTGTGTGGCACACTTCCCGAAGCGAAGTCTACCATCTTTCAGACAGCTGTTACCAGCTCAAGCAAGCAAAAGATGTTTCAAGGAAGGTGCTGTGTAAAACCTGCCTCCAGGCAGTACAAGTTGCGGAGATTCGCAGGAACGATCCTTTTCAAAGAGGTGATACACGACCACGTGGCACCGAAAGGGACATTGAACGGTTTCAGACCTATGACGATGCAAGTACTACTCCTCATATGAGGCAATTATTCAGTGATGCATTGCATTCACAAATGGCCGAAGAAGCCATGCAGATTACCTATACATCAATCCCGAAGGGATCCTTGGCAAGAGCCAGAGGTACATCTGCACTCGCAAGTGCCTCATCGTCGTCAGTGCCCAAGGCAATGCCACCAGTGCCTAACAAGGCAAACATGTCACCTCCACCTAAGTCTCCTCCGCCAAAGGCGAAAGGAACAGTACCTTCAGATCCTCCGAGACCAAAAGGTCCTACCAGAAGAGGAGGTCAAAATCGGCGCATTCAACGAAAAGCAGCTAGAGAAGCCCATAACAGTGGACTCTGCAACCATGCAGACGCTGCACTTGGCGAAGCCAATCAAGGCCAGGCCATTAACACTATGTGCCGAAACATGGCAGTAAGACACGTCAGCTCTATCGATGCAACGGTAGAAGCAGCCGAGCAGTTTACACAACGCGTGCAACAGCATGTAGAAACATATGATGAAGAGGAACCGTGGAGCACGGAGTTTCTACCAGTCGTGGAAGTCCTATTCAGGAACTTGAGCAGCGACGAAACAACTGTCATACATGACAATCATACGGCAACTATGCCTATTCAGAAATATCTCGACCTCCTCAGAATCGCACAATCATTGCGAAACTCTATCCAGAGAGACAAGGAGGAAAGAAAGGATCATCTTGACACCATCCAAGATACTCTATCCAGAGTGGAAATCCTTCTAACAGCACTGAAGGACTCAAAAACAGTCTTCAATCAATTGGTCCATTCCTCACTAGAGATAGAGCGAAGACATAAAAACCTCAAAAATGTCCTTGAGACACTTTTTGACGACCAAAGCTCTGAGGAAGACCAGTCAGAATCTGACCATGAAGAAGTCCTAACTCCTTCTGCAGCACAGTACTGGAACAGCCTTCATGCCCACGCCTTATCTCCCTCAGGAGATGAAAGTGAAAGATCATGGGCGTCCTCAGACGGACAGCTTGAAAGAAGAAGGGCCGAACGGGCAAAGGCTAAGCAGCCACAACCGGCTAAAGCCGAGGCAACTCCAATCAGCTCACAAGCTGCACCAAAGGCCGAGCCAAAGGCGACTACATCCAACCATGGATATGAAACTGCAGACGCCGCCTTCACCAGGGCTGAGAACAGATTACTCGGAATCTTTTCAAGTTCCGAAGAAGATCACTCAGACCCGGATGAACCACATCCGAACGTCTATGCTCGAGCCTATGATCCAAACCTGGATCCGAATCTGAGATAAGAAAATTCTCAGAGTTTCACAACAGTGACTCACAAAGCTCTAACAAGAGCACAATGAAGGGCTGCATAATTCGGTAGAAGAACATTACCAGACCTGATCTTGTACAGATGATCTCTCTGACCAACATGCATGAGTGTGTGCAAAAGGAGTGACCTCAACAGTGTACTTCAGTGCTATACCTAGCATAAACAATATGCTGTTTTTATCATGAGTCCAAACTCCGCAACTGTGACAGTGGGCATAATAGTATATGTGTGAATGTGCGGCCATGCTTCCGGTAAAAGAAAATTAGTGTCTGTTTGATTCCGTAAACCTCTAAAGGGGTAGCTCTAACAGGTACCTACAGCAATGGCTGCATGCTCATACATATACATTCCGCTGCCCATTGGCTCACAGTGGTTTTACCATATTGAGACAAGACAAGCTCTCCTTGCGTAGCAAGACAAAACAACTACTGTCCGTGTGCAGGGCGCTGCCCTTTGATCCTTAGGGAATAAACTGGTCATACACCTCCTAACAAGGAGCATTTCCTTGTGGGTGTATCGGCAGGGGGAGGGCGGGGGGGAGGGGGGGGGGGGGGGGGCGGGGAGGGTGGAGGGGGGGGGGGGGGGGGGGGAGGCCTAGGAGGGGGGGAGGCCAAAGCAAATCAGGTAAAATGAGGGGCAAGGGCGTGGCAAACGAACGCAAAAAACGGGCGCCCAAACAGGGAGCGCCTGGGCCTGTGGCCTCGGCGGATATACTATACGAGTCGCGGCATCATTTGAGGATGTAGGTGAAGAGCTTGGGAAAAGGGCTTCCACCCTATATCCAGAGTTCGAACGCTCTGCCTGCGAACTCTGCAAACCTGATCGTCAGGCACGCGGTGCAACTGCCACGACCCTAGACCCTACCTGGACCCCAGAAGTATGTAGAAGAATAGCCCTTCGTGGGCACTGGGCCATTATGTTGCCTACGTTTGCGCGGTTAGGTTGGCCAAGTCTCTGCCTCTGGAGCAACAGGCGCGCTTGGAGAAGCTGCGCGAAGACGACCCAATTGCATGGCAGGAGCCAGTTCCCCCCTTGTGAGACACAGTAAGCCAGCTCTGCAAACACCGGCTCCATTTGTGCTCTTCCACGAACCTTCAGCCTTCTGTTTCCTCCGCAGGACATGCACCATTGGCCTTGAAACATGAATCGTGTGCAGAGATTTTGCAAGTGCACCGAAGCGCACGCACCGGTGACCTCCCGAACAGCACTGGTCCGCGGAGGATGCAATCAACACTTCTCGAGCGTTGGTGGATGCCGTCAAGGACTGAAGTAAGTGGTGCGCAGCCCAAGAGTGCCTATTCGATGCCGCTACTCTGGCATCGTTTCGTCGTGAGAGTCACCTCAAGTTTTTTGTGAATGTGACCAGCGTTTGGTCTGGTTGTGAACGAACAAAACTGGGCTTAGGCATAGAAGTTAAGAGAAGTGCTCTGCGAATGCGGCGATGCAGGAAAACGACATCGATGATCTTCGACGAGTCGTGGCCAACGCAGAGGACGGCGAGTTCATTCAGGCCCTGCCCGGTCAAAAAGGGGGCGGCAAGGAGTCGCGAATGCAAGGCCCCTATTCCGGACGCTGTCGGGCTTCGTTGATCTGGCCTGTGGAGGCCTTCATCCTACAAGCCTTCGTGTTGGCGCTGAAGGCGCGAATGAATCGTTTGGAGCGCTCGGAGGAATGATCTCAGCCGGATCGTCCTATGTGTATGGCAGTGTCAGCAAATGAGGGCATCGTTGATTCCAAGAGCCCCCATCCCTGAACCCAAGCACCCTGACATCTTAAACACTCGGCCCCCCAGGCGAAGAAAGGCATTGCCAAGAAAGCCCGAAGCCCCTTTAGTGCCCGAAGCCTCTTTGCCGAGTCCTCGCTGCTGGAGATCACTCAACAGCATGGAGCTCAGGTCTAGGGTTCAGTTCTTACGTGAAAACTCCACAAGTAGGCAACATAATGGCCCGATGCCCAGAACAGGCTACTTTTCTACAAATCTTTGGGGTCCAGGTGTGGTTTAGATTTCGGTTCACCCAGAGACTCCAAAACCCCTTAATTAAGAAATATACCTTAAATTATAATAGGAGCCCTATTATGATTTAAGGTATATTCCTTGATTAAGGGGTTTTGGAGGCTCTGGGCAGGCTTTCGAGTCTTGGGCTTTCGGGGTTTACAGGCCCGCTGGACCGAAGCCAAGAGATCTGAAAGGTTTGCTCCTGGACATCATACCTTACAGTAGAAGCCGGAAAGTTGGAACATCATTATCCCCATGCCCTACAGGTAAAGTATAAGGGATCCTAGCACTAATCCTCCTAAATCCATGTTCCAACTTTCTGGCTACTAGAATGATTAGAATAGGGCTATAACTATAGTAAGGAACCCCTAGAATAGTATAGGTAACTATTTAAGGCCCTATATTACTGTAGACCCCATAAGTTGAAAACCAGGTCAAGGCCAAACAGTGCTGGGTTTCACTGTACATTACTCTTAAGGATTGAGGCTATGGGGTTTCCAACTTTTGGGCTTCTACTGTACACCCAACTCTAAAACCAAGACATGCCTGTAGATCCTTCTTGAAGGATGCAAAGCGTGGAAATGCTTCCCTAATCTATATGCCAGCTTGATCCGCGTTTCCAAGTCCAGTCATGCCCTTGATACCCTGAAGCCTGCAGCCATTGAATCACACTTAAAGCAAGAACAGTCGCGGTTTGTACTGCGTGGCTCTACTTGGTGTGACTTATTACTTGCCCACAAGTCCCTATCATTATGTAGCAATGTAGCTCTAAGGACTAACACCCTAAACCCTAAACCCTAAACCCAAAACCCAAAACCCCAAAACCCTAAAACCCGAAACCCTAAACCGTTAACTTGTGAGATCCGAGCAAGGATGGTGGACTGGGGGGTGCCCCTCCATAGCCCGCAGCTCTCGCAGGCCTTTTCGGCCACGCAAAAAATAAGAAGGGGTATAGGAGTCTTATAGGAGGGTTAGGGTATGTAACAAGTTTCCAAATATGGATCCCATCAGTCAATTCGCAGCGGTTGTAGACACACTGGACATCTGGCCAGATTCCGGCACATTTGGCCTGTACGCGTGAGTATGCTTCTTCATGAAAAGATATGACCTTCATGAAAGGGGGCATTCCGCGAGGTTTACGATGGTGTCTTCGTGCGCCGTCGAGGAATGTAAATATCTTTCGTGTATAGTTGAAGTCCTTGTGGATCTCACGTGCAGCATCTCAGTGGCAGCATGAAAGGGGTGGTAACGACGATGCCGATCAGGACGACCAATGACGACGACGATGATGATGATGCCGATGACAGTGCTGACGACGTCGTCGTCGTCGTAGTAGTAGTAGTAGCAGTAGTAGTAGTAGGAGTAATAGTAGGAGGGGTGGTAGTAGTAGTAGTCGTCGTCGTCGTCGTAGTAGTGGTAGTAGTAGTAGCAGTAGTAGCAGTAGTAGCAGTAGCAGCAGTAGCAGCAGTAGCAGCAGTAGCAGCAGTAGTACAAGTACCGGTAGCAGCAGCAGCAGCAGCAGCAGCAGCAGCAGCAGCAGCAGCAGCAGCAGCAGCAGAAGCAGTAGCAGTAGCAGTAGCAGTAGTAGTCGCAGTAGTGGTCGTACTAGTAGTAGCAGTAGTAGTAGTAGTAGTAGCAGTAGTATTAGCAGTAGTAGTAGTAGTAGTAGTAGTAGCAGTAGTAGTAGTAGTAGTAGTAGTAGTAGTAGTAGTAGTAGTAGTAGTAGTGGTAGTAATGGTAGTAGTAGTGGTAGTAGTAGCAGTAGTCGTAGTCGTAGTCGTAGTCGTCGTCGTGGTGGTCGTGGTGGTGGTGGTTGTGGTGGTGGTAGTAGTAGTAGTAGTAGTAGTAGTAGTAGGCGTGGTAGTAGTGGTAGTAGTAGTAGTAGTAGTAGAAGTAGGAGTAGGAGTAGGAGTAGGAGTAGGAGTAGGAGTAGGAGTAGGAGTAGGAGTAGGAGTAGTAGTAGTAGTAGTAGTAGTAGTAGTAGTAGTAGTAGTAGTAGTAGTAGTAGTACCAGTTCGTAGTAGTCGTAGTGGTGGTGGTAGCAGTAAAAACAGTAGCAGTAAACAGCCCGGGTGGCGGCCATGATAGGAACATCAACGCTACTACTCATTGCAAAGTAGAGAACAGTGGCTAGTGCGATCAGCCATATCCCGTCAGCCCTGAGTTTACCCTAAGACTGCAGCACGAAGGCATTGCACCTGGTCTGCGAGCTGGTCAACCGGGAGAACTTCAGCAACTCCTGGCGCGTTGTGGTGCCCTTCCCCCTTCCATGACTTCATGTCACATCATTTTGTTGGAGGAGGGTTTCCTGAATGAAGACCCGGGAAGCCTGCATTTGTTCGTAGGTTTCTGACAGACACACGGATTTTGCTGCCCCTCTGGTGCCTGCCGCCTCGATGCAGAAAGCCCTCACGGACGGCAACACGGAGGGGGGCTTGGACATCAACGCTCCACGGCAGTCTGACGGGGTGCACCCAGCTTGGATTGCCTCGCCAGATTCACACAGAGATCGCAGGGTAAGTAACTTGCGTATACGCCTTTAGACACATGCAGATGTAAACTCGAAGCCCCGTGCAAAGGTTGGCTCTACATCCTGAAGCCCTAAACCCTAAGCCCTTGGCCAGTGGACACCTCTTTGCATCGCCTCTGCGGACGCGTGCCTGCCCATGGCCTTCAAGCTCCTCGAGCCGAACCCGCCTGTTGAATACACGGTTTAAGTTTAGGGTTTAGGGCCTTTAGGGTCTTAATAATAGTAGTAATAGTAATAACAATAATAATAATAATAATTGGAATGGGGTTCCTGTAAAACTGTCCTGCAAGGATTTGGGGCTTAGGGCTGACGGGCTTGTTTCAGAATAAGAGTCGTGCGTTTCCGTTTAAGGGATACGGGATACTGTAAGGGTTTGGTATAGGGGCCTCAATAATTACAATAAGGCCAGTAAGGTTTAGCATAGCTACCTACTACGACAATATTGCTAGTTATATCGGCATCAATGTAAGGTTTTGGAGTTGACGGCTTCAAGGTTCACGGTTCGGGTTGAGGGGTTGAGGAGTTCAGAGTTTAGTGCATGGCTTCCGTTTGTTTGAGATTCAGGGTTCACGGGTTTATGATTTCAGGTTTCAGGACACGCACTGCACTAAAACCCTACCAGACCTCAACATCGTTGAACTGTATACACCACGAAGCCTATTGCGTGAAGTGAGATGAGAACTTGCCAGTTCCTCGGCAGCATTGGGACTACGAAGGCTTTCCAGTCTTTCCCCACGGAGTCAGGAACGAACTCTCGGTTTCCATATTTCAAAGCAAAACAAGAAATACATCGTCATAGCTCTACCGCAAAACTTCCTTGTCATGAGAAAATCACAAGTCGCGGGAGGCCTTTTTGACCCTACATAACAAGGCTATAGTAGAATATGTCTCAGAACCCTGCGCTAACTATTAAGGCACCTATATATACTGTATCTACACTAACCCTTCTGAACACCTTGGTATGGAACCCTTATCGTTCGGAGTTACCCATATAGTAGCCTGGTTATGCAGGCCCCTACATGCGCATGACAGGTTAAAGGCCGACCCGAATGTGATCACCAGGGCCAATGAGACCCCGCTGTGCGGAGCTGAGTTGATCAGGGTTCAGGGTTTGCGTTAGCTTCGGACTTAGGAAAGCTTTTTCTGGTGATGGGGAAGGGGGAGATGTCACCAGGGCCCTGGCAAAGCGAAGCCGCGACGACGACAGTGACGAGCAGAAGGAGGCATCGGAGTCTCTGGTTAAACCTGCTTAATATCTATTGTCAGTACAGGAATGATTATGAGTAGCAGTAGCAGTCGCAGTAGCAGTAGCAATAGTAGTACCAGTAAGTACTAGCAGTAGCAGTATAGCACTAGTAGAGGTAGAGGTAGCAGAGGTAGTCGAGGTACTAGTATTGGTATTAGTATATGATTTTGTTAGTGGTATTCGTACTACGCACTATCATTGTCTTGGGTGCTGAGCGCAGCGAAGGCGCGTGGCATCATCTCCAACATGCTGCGATCATACGGCGGGCAGGCGGTGGTCCCATGATTCTGGGAAGATGCACCGATGTTTAGTTTGTTGCTACCGGAGATGTGCATAAGACTGCTGCCGGCAAGGACACCTGCAAAGACGCCTTGAGGATGTTGAGAAAGACGAGCCAGCCTGCCGCATCCAAAGAGAGCCAGGCGCAGAGGGGCCACCAGAGTTGTTTGGGGCGAGAGCTTACTCGTATCGAGGATGCAGATCCGGAAGTAGGATATGGCCTGAGGCCAGCTTCAAGTCGCTTGTACATGTTGCGTGTTTTTGTGCCTGGCAGGCGCTAAAGGAGGAAGTAGTCACGGCCAGGGGCCTACTGCCAGAGGTGTCCAAATCAATTCGCCCTTCACACTCTGTTCGTCTCTGCCCGCTAGGACCAGGAGTCATGTGCGCTTTCGTTAGGAACCGAATCCCCTGCCCTTGAGCGACCTGACAGAGACAGCAGTGACCTCACGAAGTTGAAGACGCATTCGTGCCAACACCACTTCAATCCGGCCCCAGGCTGAGTATGTGTGTCCTGCTTTGCTGAGTAGTTGAAAGAATCCCAGGTGCCTACCACCACCTCGACTTCGCAGCTCTGCTTTACTGAGCACATGGGGTTTCAGGGTCTGTCAATAGCGAGGACTTGTAGCGATGTTCTCAAGCATAGGCCTCTTCGAGTTTGGGCTTCAGGGCTTAGGGTTTCGCGGCCACGTGGCCGTCGCCATGAAAAAGGCAAGCAAGCCTACATGCCACATGGTGGCAAGCCCACGAAGCCGACTTCCTTAGTCCTGGTAATAGGCATCTGACTATGTACGATGAACAGAATGGTCTCTTGTGTCTCGAAGTCCCGCATCAGTTTATTTTTGGTCGCCACCGAGAGATTGGATACGGCAACCCGTAAAGTCAGGTACGAGAATGACATAGGCAGCGCTACTGAAACCCTGGCTTCCAACCTTGTGAGGCACACGAGATATCGAGGGTAAGGAGCTGTGAGGGAGCCATGATGGAAATCCTTGGAAGTGAAGACAGCCTAAAGAGCTGGACACTTCTGATGGCAGGTCTGCATTGGCACTCCAAGGGATGAAATGTTCAGAGGAAGTCAATACGGTGAATGTTAGGCCAAGGAAGAGTCGCTGGAGCTCGGCAACTTCAGCACAAGCCATGCATTGGATCTGTTAACCCCACAAGAGCAGGGAAGGACCACATGGTCAGTGTACTTTACACACACACATACATACATATAGTTATTTGCATATATATACAGTCATATATAGACGCTATACGATCTATGCGCACGCACGAACACACACACACACACACACACACACACACACACACACACACACACACACACTTGAATGCACGCCGGACAAGTTTCACCAATGTGTGTAGAATTCAGAACCGGGCGTGTTGATTCGCGCATTTGGACAATGCCTGAAAACTGTGCTCGCAAGGCTCCTGAAGAGCTCATCCGCGGGTTTAAAGCTAATGTAGCGGCCTTAGTAATTACTTATACTATTTTGGGAGTTCCTTAGTAAAAATATAATAGAATGGGCCTGAACAATTTGAATAGGGTTTGGGTTTGGGGGGTGTATTATACATAGTAAGGAACCCGAAACCCCTATTCTAGTTATTAAGGCCCCTATATTGCAGATATCGCCCATTGGCTCTGCCACTTGTCCAAGCTACTGTGATTGACCCGGCACACACCTACACAGCATCCACTTCGGTCGTACCTCTCGGAGCAACTTACAGCATTCAACTCCAGTTCAGCCAACTAGGCGCAGCTCTCAGCACAGACTTCAAGATCAACGGACACGATGTGCAGCCAGACATAGCTGAGCAAAGAAAGTGACATCAGCTCTCCGCCTGATATTTGCCTGCACTTCACCATGGCTGGCCAAGCCGACAAGAAGCAGGTGCTTCTGAGCGGTCGCACACACGAACATATGTTTCTGTAGGTACTCAGCAGTACCTAAAACGTAATAGTCATATAAACCCTAAACCCTAAAGTCATATACGCTTAAAAAAGGCATATACGCAGATAGCCCAGTCGATACTTTTTTGGTATGCCCGTGATACAATGTACGGCCATGGCAGAATCCGGCCGACCAAACCAGTTTCTGTCAGGCCAAAAAGGCCGAGTCTTCCACTCAGCGGGAGCCCCAGATGTGCTATAGGGGCCCTAAACCCTAAACCCAAAGCCCTAAACCCGAGACCCTACACCAATACCATTTTGAGAGCTCCTTGTTATAATTTAAAATTTAAGTATAAGGGGCCCCAAAACCCTAACGTAATTATAAAGGCCCCTATATTAGGCACGATCTGACAGGACGCCTTTTTTCAAGGTGCACTGTCACAAGTCTAGGGCAAGGTGCTTTTCTGAGCATCCGAAGTTGCCATGTCAGGTACTACCTGTATGCCATCATCGCAGTGAATGCGTTGTATTTTCTGGGCCGTGTGGTGATGTTCTGGTCTTCAATGGGCAAGTGGAATCTGCCTCTCGGCAAATTGGATAGGTATAGCACACTAGGAGCTAGCCAACGTAATCCACAACATTTCACAGAGCTGTTGCTGCAAGCGCCCGTACTTCGGCTCTACGAGTAGTGCTTGATACCTCTTGCATCACAAGAAGAGTTTCGAAACAAGTGGGGCGGCGGGCACTGACACTAGCATCTACAGAGGTTGAGATCAATCTCGAGCGCATGGCTTCTGAAGTGGTTTGCAACAGCGCAGTGTCCAGCAACGATGCGGGACAGTTTAGGACTTTCTCCGGCAAAAGTGTTTTGTTGTGGGACGTCGAGCTTTGGCTCTTCGTATGCCAAAGATCCACACCCCCTGAACAACTTTATGGCTCAGCTTGTGTCTTGTCAACTTCTTGGTTCATACCACCCTCCATATAAAGCTGATGGACCCTAAACCGTAAACCCTAGTGTAAGCTTGTGTTGGACCTCTAGGCTCCAAGCCCACCCGGGCCCGGGAGCCGCCCCGAGCACTCGACCGCGTGCCCCTAGACACGGTGCTCCCAAGCCCTATAGAACCCTAAAACTCCAAAGTCGAAACCCGAAAACCCTATGTAAATCCCAGAACCCTAAGCCCTAAACCCCATGTAAATCCTGGAAACCCCAAGCCCTAATCCTAAACCCTGCCATCTCAGGTGCGGCATGCTACTTTTCACTGGAGTGTCCTACTTCACGAGCGGGTACTCAGAAGTCGGGAGTGGGCAGTTTCCAGCGTTGAATTTTCTGGGCTTTTGTTTAGGGTTTCAACTCTATAGCTGTTTAGGGTTTCAACTCTATAGCTGTTTAGGGTTTCAACTCTATAGCTGTTTAGTGTTTCAACTCTATAGCTGATCTATCTGTCTACCTGTCTATCTATCTCTCTACTTGCATCCATCCCTCTATCTCCCTCCCTTTCCCTCTCTCCCTCGCTCCGTCACTCCCTCTCTCTCTCTCTCTGTCTCTGTCTCTCGTTCTCCTTTTCTCTCTGTTTAGCTGCCTCCTGTCGCTTTCCCTCTCGTTTTTTCTCCATCTCTCCCTCCATCTCCCTCTTGCTTGCTCTTCTTTTGCAGGTAAGCAGATGTGATATGTAAAGGATTCATGTCTACGGGTGCATGCATGCATGCCTGCATACACACACACAGCCACACACACACACACATATTTCCATACATCACTTCGAATCCATATGCACATGCAGAATGTGCGAAGAGAAAGCCCTGAGCTATAGCGTTACATGTATGTGGGTTGCTGAAGTAACAAGGTTCGGCGCCATCAAGAGCTCTCTGGAAATCGGAGCGAACTATGAGATGTACCTGGACTGATGCGGCATGTTTGCTCACGATCACCCCTAAACCATATCCCCTAAGCCTTCTTCATGGCGGAGACCTCAAGCCCTGTTTGGCAGAAGATCCTTTGTCCTTTCCGGCAGGACCTCTTCCTCGTCAACCTGGCAACACAAGCCCTGGTGTCTTGGAGAACTACAGCTTAGATTCCAAGATTGAGGGTGTGGGCGAGTTTGCAAGGGTTGGGCCGCAGATCACCAAAAAATGGGCTGGGAGGTAACCTTGAGCGACTACGGCTGGCTGCTGTATCTCGCAGTGGGGAACCCAGTGCCTGTTACCGCACGGTTGGAAATAGTAGGACTCTGCAATACCAACGAAAGAAACACTAGAGAAGCCTAGGACCTAAGAAACTACTGATACTGTATCATTCCTCAGGGTTTCTTCAGCGATGATTCCTCACAGCAAACCGTATAGGAACCCTTAAATGCATGTGTGTGTATATATATATATATATGCACCGGTACCTACCTACCTACCTACCTATCTACGTATGTATGTATGTTTGTTTGTATGTATGCTTGTATGTATGCAAAACATACATAACCTTTATAACATGTACCCCTTTGACGACAGGTTCCTGGCTATGCTGGCTGGAAGGTTGTGAAGCTTGTCATGGACTATGCTTGAGCCTCGGGCTGTCGACCGTGGGAGAACCGATATCCGGTGACTTCCCAATGCTCGAAGCCCCTAACCCATGAATCCAAACCCCTAGACCTCAAACCCTGAACCCGGGCAGGTAGCTCTGACGGTCTGACGGGTGGATTCCTTGAGGATTTGCCCGCTCTTCTTTTTGAAGAAGGGGCCTCTTTCAGTTAGAGTATACCTTGCCTATTTAGGCTAATAATGCCACCGCCAACCCATGATATGATCATTCCTGGAGTCCCCCCCACACTTCACCGATATATCACTACTACTTCCCCATTATCAACACACTAACCGTTACCCCATCTATTATCTCTAAGGTGGCATTATTAGCCTAAATAGGCAAGGGGTTCCTTGTAGAATTTGGTTCAGGGTTTGCAGTTGAGGGTTGTAAACCCTACGGTTCGACGGTATGACCCCGGGGTATTTCGGAGCTACCCCAAGGTATTTCCCAGCTAGTCCGAGCTTCTACTGAATCAATCCTAAGCGGCACGAGTCCAACACACTCTAGCAAACTCGAGGACACACCCGAACGAACTTCAAGGACACCCCGCGCCCACAAATCCGACCCAAGAAGCCAATCCTGAGGCAAGGAGCTAAGACCAAGAAGCCAAGATGCCAACCCCAATCCCAAGCCAAGAGCCAAGAAGCCAAGAAGCCAAGAAGCCAAGAAGCAAAGAAGCAAAGAAGCAAAGAAGCAAAGCAAGCCAAGAATCCCAAACAAAGAAGCCAACTACGGTGACCCAAGGCACCATCAAGTCCAAGCTACATCTATTCTAGCAAGTACGTGGTGAGCGTGTTGGCCCAACCCCTACCAGTACCCCAACTACAAATTCAGTGCCATGTTTTGAAAATCGCAAGGAACCTCTTGTAGCTGCCGAAATCAGGTTTGGGGTGTTTAGAATATAGGATCTTCAACATCCAGCACATGAACGTACCATGGCCGTGATCTCGAGTCCTGTGGTATTCGCTTTTGTGTAGTTCAGCATGGCCACAGACAGGCCGACGATGTTGCCACAAAGCCCCTATGCTTCAACTCCCCAGTCGCACCCACTTACTTTGGCCACTCGGGTGTCGCCATGGCGTTAACCTTTGGGCAGCCAAGTGCTGGCACTGGTCAGCTAGCTTGGACACGTCCGTATGAGTCTGCCATGGAAGCATTTGCGAAGGCACAGTCACAGCTGGAAGCGCAACTTGCTAAGAAACCTCGAGATCCTGACGCCGTCAAATTTTTTGAAGGGAAGCTGGAAGATGCACGGAAGGACAAGGAGTTTGCGCAGACAATGCTTCAGCAATGCCAGGTTCTTTGCATGCCTAGTTTGTTAACCTTTTTTGGTGCTTCGGATTGTCCCTTTAGGCTCTTGGTGCAGCATCTTGCTTTGGAGCAAGTTGTCCTCAGTGCCCAGGCAGCACCTCGCTCCGAAGACATCCTGACCCAGATCGAGAAGTTGCTTGAAAAGAAGCTTGAGCACAGCAATGAGAAGCTTGAAATGAAGCTTGAGCACAGCAGTGAGAAGCTTGAAAAGAAGCTTGAGCCTCTCTGGGAAGCCATGTTCGTGCCCGTTGCCAAGAGTGTTCGCACAGTAGAGACTGACGTGGAAGTGCGTCAAGCCTGTGTTGAGCATCATGGCAAGGTGAAGGAATGTTTGATTCTCCGACATCTGCACGGGAAAAGTGCCAAGTAATGCAGTAAAAACATTTGCACGGCTCACATCTACAACAAGGACCACGATGCTCCTGCTCAGACCATGGCGTTTGACGTCAACGACCCCAAGAACACGCTCCTGCTACTGCGGCACTACGAGCTAGAGTTTGACAGAGGACGTTTGATGCTCATGCCTGTCGAGGTGGGTCAGACTGCCAAAGTGCCATTGTCGTTGGTGCTTAAAGTATACATCCATGACGAGCTGAAGGCTGAGAATGTTTGGACCGTTAGCATAGCTGACCGAAACTACGTTTGGCACGAGGAAGTGCAAGTCCAGGGTCGAAAGGGCGGGTGGCGTTCACTGATTTTCAAAGACTTGCATCTTAAAACATACAATGCTGCGCCAGTCTACATGAGATCTCTGTTCCTGAAAGCTGTTGGTGCGCACAAGGCCCACCCACAGCACATGCCAAACCTACGGGAATCTCTACAGAATTTCCAATCAAGATGTCTGACTTGGGGTCAGCAGTTCGGCAACCGTTGGTCTGAGCAGGATCGGCAGGTCGGTAGTGTCCCATATGAAAAGCTTTTTGATGAAGTGTCTTAGTGTGTCACCCGATACCGGTTGCAAGCGGCATGGCAGCATAGGGGCACATCGAGGTTGCGACAACAGGGAACCTTGATTGCTTCCTGGAGAATTTTACCACAAGTGTGTTTTTGTTGCAGGTGCCCGTTCCAGAATCTGTCAAGCCCTAAGCTGAGGCGCAGCGCCACACATCCCGGTGCAAAAGCATCATGCGCTGATGCAAACCTTGTGATGTAGTTGTTTCCTCTCCCGCCGTTGTTGTGACACATGTCATCATTGCTCACGTACATCACGTCAATGGTTACGCAGTCGTGGAAGAAGAAGCCCGGGTGCATTCAGAGAGCGTGAGCAAGCAGTGCAAAAAGTGCCGAAAAGGCTGCGCAGTGCTTCGAAGAAATCCTCAGGGTTTTGACTGCCTCTACCTCCCCCTCCCCGAGTGACCTCTTGACATGTGATGCTATGACCGTCGACCTCACCTACCACTACCAGCCTTTGGGTAGTACATGCTCCTCTTCTCGTTTTCGTGCATCGAATCTCTACACCCGTGAAACCCAATTAGAGCTAGTTTATGATTCTATAACCGCCTTGTGCTTCCCTCGATGCACCGCAACAAGTTGGTAAAGTATGGCAAAAACTATGTAAACCACAAAACACAATTCAAATCACAATAGGGTTGACAAAAGAGGGGTAGCCAATTTTCGGGCTTAGGACGAGATAGAACTTTTTAACAACTCAAATCGCAAATATGCCCTATTGGTATCTTCAACGTAATAGTACTTTTGACCCAATTTTTCATCAATTCCTTCTATGGTATAAACATTTTGTGACCAATTTGATACACGTTCTTTTTCGTTGGGTTTCCTCTTCCTGAATATCTTAACTTCATCACCAACACTTAACTCAGGATATACCCGATTTCGTTTAGCATTCATATTTAAGTGCAGTTTAACCTTTAATTCGTTACTCGGTTTTCTGGCATCCTTTGGGGTGAAGCCGGTCGCCGAATGCTTCATTTTATTATTATACGTTAATAATATATCAAAAGTATAATCGGTCCATTGGATATTGTGTTTACCCTTTTCCTGATCCGCCTGAACACGCCGATATAATAAATCTTTGAACGTCCTAATAGCTCTTTCGCTAGATTTGGATGAGCCCTAGTCCTGTGATGTTCAATGTCTGTTCTTGTAAATACTTTTGTATTGCCTCCTTGTTCATTGCTCCTTCGTCGTCTGTATATATTATTTTTGGTTTCTTTGCCATCTTGTTTAAGCGCTCAATCATCCCACTCGCTAAATCTTCTTCTTTCTTACCTTTAATAGCCACGACGTGCATGAATTTATCAAATATATCAATCATTAACATCCCTACTCTAAATTTCTGATCTTTCAAGTCATTAATCAAAAAAAGATCCATCTTTTTCTCATATGCTGAATGCGAGGCGACAAAGCTGTTTGAACCGACGGGCTTTCGCTTTTGAAAAACATTATTCCTAAAAACTCGTTAATATCAGACATTGTGATGGTGTTGTCTTTCTCCCGCGCTTCTTCTAAAGTCCGGCTTTTTTAACCAAGCCCCGCGCGATCAAACTATACATCATTAACAATTTTTTTGTTTCTCACTCATATAAAAAACAAAAGCAAATAATGGTTTAATAATTAAATTAAACCATCATGCACCATCCATCGGCTTTATGATCTTGAACTTGCTCATATCATATTTGGGTGTGCCACGCTTTGCTTTAAAAGGCCTTTTTGCATTCATTATTTCAGACAGCAATTCTTCTGTCAACTCATCGGGGTTCAAGTTGATACTGTTAGCTTCTTCATACTCCTTGATCTTTTTTCTCTGATTGTGTCGTAGTGCAGATTCTCGTTTCTTTTGTATATATTTTTCATCATTTCCGCGCTTGTTGTAATACAATCTGCTGTATATGGCGAGTTGCTCTTTGATTTCATCCAATGTCATATCCTCGGGGTTTTTACTCATATTATATTATACTATACTATATATAAATTCTTATCTTTAGACATATTTCTATACATTAAAAACATTTAATATCCTAAAAGACATCTTTGGGAAATTACACTTAAAGATTTAATAATATATAGTTTAATTATATTAGTATAAGTCCAAAGCCATTAAGCGTAATACGGAAGCACTACAAACATTTTATAACAACAGACGAAGCCGCACCGACCAAGACAACAGAACAAAAGTTCAAAATATAACTAACTTATATTCAGATCGTAAGATCGCCCAATTCACCACAGCAGACAATTTAATCAGGAAACTCACCACCGCAAAAACAGACAAAGAAAAAACTAAAGCGGAAAAAGACTACAACAAGATTTATGACAAACATAAGGATAAAGAACAACTAGGTCAGAGAATGGCACAAGCAAAAGAAGACAACAAACGAACGAGAAGAACCAATCCAACAAAACCACGAAAATATTCAATCAATGTTCATTTATACCAACTGAAGACAGAATCACACCAAGGATTATCAGTATCTTTCAGAGACAGCAGGGGTAGGGCATACGTTCCTATTTATATGCGTGATCTATCAGCCAATGTAGCCACAACACCGCGGGTTGAAAACCTAGCGGGGAGACGAATATTTAGAGACGAGAAGCCCGACACAAAAACATTTCATAGGCTCAAGATGTTATTAATGACAGATGACAGTTTTAAAGCAGATGTCGGTTCTGCCGAAAGTTCCATTGCTTGTATTAAAGTTAATTACGCCGAAAGGGTAGATAATGCCGATGCTTTCAAGCCACAAGACGAAGAACTAACAAACACAGAGAATGTCAGTATGTATCACAGATATATTCAGACACCTTTAGATCCACAGTATGAGACCTTTAAGGAAGCCATTAAAATAGAACTACAGTAGAACATTATGTTAAACACCCGATGAAAACGGCATATTTAAAACAAGCCCACAAGATAATGAAGGTGTTGATACAGCCACCACCGGGTGGGGATCGCGAAAGCCTAAGTGAGAAGAGAGATTAGAAAAAGTGGAGGAGGATGTTGAAAGGATAGACAAAGATGTAAATATTTTGATTATGGATTAAAAATCTCGTGTATATTGACAGGCCATCATGGCATAAAAGCCCCCAATCAAAACAGAAGAAGGCAGTGAGCCAATGCCCGCGTGTGCCTAGCAGGTTCTACAGGGTCAGAGGCAAATCATAAGAGTTTGGTAATGACATTAATTCGTAAATAGTTTCGTTAAATCTTAAGGAACCAGTGCAAATTTTCATAAGTCGCATTATGAAAAGTGTATATAATAATAATAAAAGTAGATAAGATATTAGTTGATTTTGAACCATATACTGAAACAAGTAATATTAATACTAGGAAGTGTTACCGTTGTAAGCAAGTCAAAGACATTGACTGTTTCAAGCGTTGCTATTGTGCCGGTAAGCATTCTTATTGTTATGTTAAATACATTGCGACTTGTTCGGAATGCTTGGATAAATCTGTCAAGTAAACCGCGATGCAGTAAATCTTAAGAAAATAGTTTTTTGAGGAAAATGACTTAAAATAACAACTTATATATTACCGTAGTAATGAGTGAGAGTGAATATGAAAGTGAGAGTGACGATGAAACATATTTGTTTTATAATGAGATACATAAGTTCAATTACTTCCATAGATGTGATAAGTGTATCCCCGTTAAGAACATGCAGAAAACTTTACTAGGTAAATGCGATGTCTTAAATATTTGTAAAGATCAGATTGTAGACTACTATGCTTGTGACAAATGTTGTAAGTTAAGGAATTTGTTCGATGATTATATATTGCCCTTTACTAAGTTAAACAAATATCCAGACTATGATGAAGTTCATAAAAAGAAAATTTTTATAGCCAAAGAAGAGTATACACTTGAGATACATAGCGAAATGAAAACAATGTATGAGAACCTAGATACATTTGACTTCTACAAATGGCATCAGGAGAAAAAGAAATATTTTAAAGATGTTATGTGGTTATTTTTGAAATTATCACAGAGTATCTTTTTTTGAAATGATCGTTCAGAATTCTCAATAGATAGTCTCCTCAAAACGCATAGTTATAATGTAATTATAATACATAAGCAGTTATATATTATAATTACTTTTTTTACAACCCTTAACCCTAAACCCTGAACCAAATTCTACAAGGAACCCTTCGCCTATTTTGAGTATTAATGCCACCTTAGAGATAGTAGATGGGGCAATGGTTATTCCTAGAATTGCATTGATAATGGGGTAGTAGTAGTAGTGATATAATGTGTGGAGTGCGGGGGGGACCCTAGGAATGATCATCTAATGGGTTGGCGGTGGCATTATTAGCCTAAATAGGCAAGGTATACTCTAACTCTTTCACCCTCCTCCAAGAAACTCCCATGCAGCGAGAGCGCGGGAAGGAAGGGAGGGAGCGGACGGTGCCCCGACGGC